AACGAATCTTTAAGACTAGAATCCCAGATAGTCTACGGGGTGGTGGAGGGGGTAGGGGTCAGGGAGTGCAAAGCTTGACTCTATTCCTAAATTTATTGAGCAACAGTTAAGGGCTACAGCACGCTCACTCTTCTGTGACATTGCTCTTAAAGAGTTTGTATCATGGGACTCTTGAGAAACATGGAATGAAGGATAAAGCTTTCTGTTGTATTTCCTCCATGGCATGAGTAGACTGATAGTGTTTGTGAGAAATGAGAACAAGGAGAAAGTATCTATGTGGAAGGAATTTTTGAAGGGCAACTCAAAAAAATCTAGATGAGTAAGTACTGTCATGACACAATTCAGCCCTAAATCCACTGAGATAAAATCTGCATTTAAAAATGTATTAAGAGGGCTGGGAAGATAGTTCAGCAGTTTAAAGTGCCTGCTTAGGCCAGCCAAAAAATAAATTTAAAAAAATGAAAATGTATAAAGAATACAATTTGTTTTGTTTAAAAAAAAAAAAACAAAAAAAAAAAAACACATGGGGCTGGTGAGATGGCTCAGTGGTCTAAAGCACCTACTTAGAACAAGCTTAGCAAAAAAGCACAGGGACCATGGTTCAATCCCCCAGCACCACATGCCAGCCAGCCCCGCCCCCTGGTGGGCTGAGCTGGCCACACACACATAAATAAAATTAAAAAAAAAAAAACACACACACACAATTTGTAGCCAAGTGTGGTGGCATAGACCTGTAATTCCAGCCCTTGGGAAGCTGAGGCAGGACAACCATGAGTTCCAGGCCAGCCTGGGCTACATAGTTCAAGGGCTATGAACTACATAGCAAGATCTTATTTAAAAACAAACAACAACAAAACACAATTTTTTTCCATTAGGTTTTATTACATAAGTAACTGAAATCACTGTTCTCTATTTTCTTCACAACTTATACTAAAGGCAGCTTTTAAAATTTTAATCTAATTCCTCAAATATCAGTATTTGATGCTTTTAGGCAATTATACTTCCTGATATTATGGCAAACATTTGCTGAATACTTTAGTTACTATTCTGAAAATTTTGCTAAAATGTTTCATGTTTCTTTTAGAAAGTGTATTGGATTTATTTGTTCAGTGTTTTATGAAAAACAAACAAACAAATGCTTGTGGGATTAATCCTCTCCTCAGGGAGGAAACTAATCTTTTCTGAGGAAGTGATCACTCTGAAATATAACTCATTCATTGTGCTGAGAATGTTTTATCTACTGCTAATTCTCATAAACATCACATGTTCTGCTGTATGAATACAGGATTTCTTATTGGTCTAACAGTAAACCATTTCATCAGGGCAATTATTTAATATTTTGTAAAAATATTTATCCACCTTTTATGTGTTCATTATAGTCACTTATTATACAAAAGGAAATGCTATTTTAGACATTTTGGTATACTCACACAGTTGTACAACCATCAACATAATTTTTTATCACAGTAACACCTTACAAGTAACCCATAACCAGGTGTGTTGGCACACACACTGATAATTCCCAGCACTCAGGAAGCTGGGGCAGGAACACTGCTTTGAATGCAAGGCCAGCCTGGACAACCTAGTGCCTCAGACCTTGTCAAGAAAGAAAGGAGGGAAGGAGGGAAAAAGAGAAGGAGGGAAAAAGGAAGGGGAGCAGAAGGAAAAAAAAAAAACCTGAAAAGACAGAAGAAACAAACCAGCCCTGTTAAGTACCAGCAGAAACTTTCCATCCTCTGAAAACGTGCATCCCTAAGCATGCACCAATCTCCTTTTTTTTTAAAGTAGCTTTATTTATTTTTTTTTAATTTCATTTATTTATTTTGTGTGTGTGTGTGTGTGTGTGTGTGTGTGTGTGGCCAGCTCAGCCCACCAAGGGGCGGGGCTGGCTGGCATGTGGTGCTGGGGGATTGAACCGCGGTCCCTGTGCTTTGCTTAGCTTAGCCTGTTCTAAGTAGGTGCTTTAGACCACTGAGCCATCTCACCAGCCCACCTATCTACTTTTTGCTGATATGGATTGGTCTTTTCTGGTATTTCATGTAATACAATACATAAAATTGTGTTTGGTTTCAATTAGCATAATATTTTCAAGGCATTTATCATTACTTTGTTCTTTTTTTTCATAATTAAAAAAATTTTTTTAGTCCTTTTGAGAGAGGGTTTCACTATGCAATTTAGGTTGACCTTGCATTTGCAGCAATCCTCCTGCCTCAGCCGCCCAAATGCTGGCATTATAGGTGTGCATCACCAGACCCAGCTATTACAGCTATAACTTACTAGCTAACAAATGCCAAGTGCCTGCTCAGTGCCAGAAATTCTTGTAGATCTATTTTACTAAATCTCAGGCAACATAAATTGTTTAAGATTATTTTAAGCACACTTGAAACAATAGTTCTTTCCAATAATTTAAAATATTAAAGATATGGGAAAAAATTTCACAAGTTCTTTACATGGGTTACAATTCTAAAGCTTATAGTCTTAGAAGATAATTTTAAAAACAAATGAGACCCTGTCTCAAAACAAAATAAAAACACAAAGCTAAACTAAAGCATACAGAAATTAGATACCCTTGCCTAAAGTCAAAGCAGCTAAATACAAGAAGCAAAATTTGAACCTGGGTTACCTGGTTCAGTCAAATCCCATTCACTGTTATAGAGGTTTTTTTTCCCTTACCCCTTCCCTACCAGGATGACAGAAGAGCAGCCCACCAATTTAACACATAGGCCAGCACAACCTTACAGAACGTGTGTTCTACTTAAGACTCAATTCCTCTCATTTATTACAGTTGTTACAAATATTGTTTCAGGGAATCAAAGCAAAAACCACCAAAAAATATTGTCTCGAAAAAGACACGCAACAGCACAAACCAGGGACAGTTGCTATTGTAATATTGTAATTTTTAATAGTGAATATATAGTGATTTTTAGTTTTCTTTCTTCTGTATTTTCACACATAAAAAACCTTTGCACAGTGGTATTTACCTACAGCCAAAATTTCCAGGCCAAGATAGGAATATCACTTAAACCAGAGTTTTAGACAGCCTAGACAATGCAGTGAGGCCCTGTCGCAAAAACTGAAGGTGATACATGGTAGTGCATACCTCTAATTCCTGCACTCAAGAGGATCACCACAAGTTTAAGACCAGCCTGGGCTACACAGTGACCTCAAAGCTAACCAAACTACATAGCAAGACCTTGACTCAAACAACCGAAATGAATGAATGGATAAACAGATGGAAGAAAACTCTAGCTGCATGCATATACCTTGGCATTCTGCTAAGTGAAATAATATTAATTCCACTTATAAAATAACGTCAATTCCACTTACATGAGGTGCCCAGAATAGCTGAAGCATAGACAGGATAGAGACTTGTGGTTTTATTAAAAGCTGGAACCAATGACATTAGTGACACTGTCACATGGACAGCTGCAGTTTAAAAGATGAAAATGTTCTGGTACAGGTTGTACAAAACAGTGAACATAGTTAACTGGTAAATAAACCTAAAACTGGTAAATTATTTTTTGGAGCCAATGTATGTAGCCCAAGCTGGCCTCGAGTTCACAGCAACCCTCCTGTCTCAGCCTCCTGAGTGCTGGGATTACAGGCATTGCCACCACATCTAGCAAAATAGTAAATTTTGTTGTGCATTTTATAGCAACTTACAAAACTCCAATCAGATTAATTAGAGAATGGATGTATGTACATAAGGTAACAAAATAACAGGCATTTTATTCTGGTAGGTAATCTAAATTTATTTTATTTTATATTTTGTAATCTAAATTTATCCTGCAACTCCTATTATTATGTTTATTCAACAAAGTAAACCACCAATAGGTTGAATGACTGAATCCCAGAACAATCTGAGTGATTGCAATAAGCTAAGGACACTGTACCATTCAAAACTATAAATAATAACACAGGACTAAAAAAGCTAGTAAAAGATACATATGCAAAATACATGAACTGGTACTGAATATCACTATATAAACTGTATAAAATGAAAATGAGAGAATGTTTGATGCTCACAGCTTAATGGAGGGAGATGGTATGTTATCCAGACCTCAAAAGAAAAGGAGAACTTCAAATAATAAGGATAAGAACTTCCAACAATAGGGAAAAAGTTTCAAGTGAAACCAACAGAACAAACGTGTGGAAGAACAGCATCATCTACAAACAGCAAATAATACAGACGGGCAAACAAGATCCATGTTGTGGGTGTAAATGACAAAGATCAGGGTGAAAAAGAAAAGTGAGGCCAGGTTTTAGGTGGCTTTAAGTGCCAGACTAAGGAATTTAGATTTTATTACCAGAAAAAGAAAAGGATGATCAAACATGTCCTTGAGAAAGATTTATGAACGTGAAGAACAAGTGAGAATGGTGAAGGTGAAAGGATGAAGGAACAGACAACATAAGCAAAAACAGTTGAAGTCTTAAACTACTGACTAAAGGAGAGATAAAGGAAATGGTCCAGTCAAAAAAGTTCAGGTTAGATACCCTTCTAGGACACCGTCCTCTGAAAGCCAGACCTCAACAGTCACGACAGCTGCCAATACTTGCTCAGTATTTCTCCTACAATGTGTGCTCCATAACAGCAAGAACAGTGTAGTAAGTCTTGACGCTATATTCATTGGCTCACAGTATTAAGTAACTTTTTTCAATCTATATAAAATACATTCTTCCTTACCATACATACTTATTTAATGCAAGAACATCTCTCTAAATCTGAGAAGGCTCAACATTTTTCTAGACCTAGCATTTGGGCCATTATTAGATACATAACTCACACCAACGTAGAACAATTGTTGGCCACTCTTAAGTATATCTGTGAAGCAAGCAATTCACCAGTGCCTGAATACTTGAGTTCACACACAGTAAAGATTCATACAATTATAACTTTTAAAAAAACCACTAAAATATATACCAGGTCAGCCAGAACATGAAAATATTTTTAAAATAGCAAACATTTTAAAAGTTCATGCACAAAAATAGGCTTACAATACCTTCGGGGGGTTAAATGGATATGTTTCTGGTATTTTGATCTCTAGTTGGTATCTTCCTCCTAGACAATGGAGAAAACAAAGTAAAGAATGTTGCTCAAGTATGTGAAGCTGAATATATTACTGGCAGAGCTTTCCAAAACATCCATAATTTTATATAGCCAAAAGCACTAAATTTTCATTTAATTTGAAGCATACAGATTACACACTTCATATGTTAGTGTATCAGTAATAGGGCTACATGAACAGATAAATCCAATGCTAAATATTTCATTAAGCAGTGTAACATCTGTTCTCTTTTATTTCTTCTAGTCCATCCTGGCAAGAACTGCTCAACAGGAAGAATGGAAGGAAAAGAAAAAATGTTTAAAGATAAAAAGAACCATATAAAGACAAAGGATATAAATTATGCTATAAACTAAAAAATCTACTTCTATCTGGTTCTCTCAAATTAAAACATTTCTATCTTTTAACCTGTGTTCTAAGCTAAATATCAACATTTTTGTTAAAATTTGATAAATAAAATCTAACAGTAACAGGCATAAAGGCAGAAAACTATTCTCTTACTTTAAATTAGTACACAGAATGAAAATATTTCAAGTAAGCTGTTTTAACCAGTAGAACTGCATAAAAAGACAAGAGTCCACTTTATTTTGGAGTTATCTTGCGCAACCAGCAACTAAAAACAGCGTTTGGAAAAAACTTATCTAGCTTCCCATAACTGAGGTATTTGAGAGGAATTAACTGCCTTTTAAAAAACTCTGAAGGGGAAGATTTGAACGAGTTGAGAGGCTGGGTTAGATGCTACCTCTTAAGGAATTTTCCAGTTCTAAGGTTTTAGGACTCATTAACCTAGAATACTATTATGAAACAGCAAATAAAACTGCGCTTCTGAAATACATAAGGACAAAAAAAAAAAAAAATCACTCTAAAAAAAAAATTTTGTGGGGGAGATGGCTCAGTGGAATAAGCGCTTCCCTGGCAAGCACAAGGGCCTGAGTTCAATCCCTGGTTCTGCAAAAAAAAAAAAAAAATAAAAAAAATCACTCTGAAATACATAAGGAACTATGGGAATCTGCTTCATTATCATCAGAGTTGGATTAGATCAAAGACTGGCCATGAATTATTAAAGCTGGCTAAGTACACTGGGTTTTGATTGGATTATTGCTTTGCATATACCTGAAATTTTTCACACAAAAAAACTATATGCTACTAACATAAAAATTTTATATACTAGCTGGATGTGGTAACACAAGCCTCCAAGAATGCTGGGGCAAGAGAATCATTAAATGCAAACCCAACATGGGCAATGTGGCAAGACCAAAAAATAATAATAATAATAATAATAATAATAATAATAATAATCAACAACAAAAACAAACCCCAAAACAACAAGTGACAATGTAGCTTAGCACCAAGGCCTTGGGTTCAATCCCTGACAATTGGGGTAGGAGGGCAGGAGTTGAGGGTTGCTTTCCCTAATTTGTCCTGGATTTTTTTCAGATCCACCTCCTCCATTGTTATTAGTGGACAACTATGGATTTTAGAAAAAACAAGCATTTCACTTGTTACCATGTTATACAGATGAGCTTTAGTTTTATTCTCTTAACATTTTTTCAATGCAATCCCCACTATTAAATGATACTTATATTGAGCTAGATACCTAATCACAGAACATGGTAGCAGTGAAATATAAAGCAAAGTAGCCAAAACAAAAAGAAAAAAAAAATGGCAATTATAGTAGGGTACCTAAGGACATTTAGTAAATCTAGAAATAATTTACTAGATTTAAATAGTGGTACACAGCTATAATTCCAGCTTGCGGAACACTGAGGCAGAGGATTACAAGTTCAAGTTCCACCTGCGCAACTTACTGTGATCCTGTCTCCAAATTTACGAAAGGACTGAGGATGTAGCTTAGTACTAAGACCCTAGGTTCAATTCTCTGTGTCAGGGCTAAGGAAGTGGGAGGTGTTGATAATAGATTTGGCTAGAGTAATACATAGGATAACTTCGTCTTTTCTAATTGCTTTTCTTTTTTCTTGATTAAATTCCAGATTATAACTTGCCATTAAGATTCTTCCCCACTTTGGGGCAGTATTAAGGATTGAGCCCATGCTCTTTGCAACAAGCTATGTCCCCAGCCATTCTCTTGATTTTTATCTTGAAATGGGGTAGCTCTAAATTGCTATGTTGCTCAGGCTGGATTTGAACTTGAAATCTTTCTGCCTTGGCTTCCTAGAGTGCTGAATACATGCCTGGCTTGTTTTTCCTTCTTAAATACTCAAAACAATCTTTCAGGTGCAGTATGAGAATCCAAAACTATTATATAAGTACTGCTGAGCCCATAGTCCCCAAAACTTTCCTTCTACTCCATGTTATATATGTTCTCTCTTGCATTATTTCCTGATAACTATCAACACATAACCACTATGGCGTTAATGGTAACATCACATTCATGTGTCGCTGAACGACAGATGTTCTAAGGAATGCCTTATACTGTCTTATCACTTGTTCAAATATCACCAAATGTACTTACATAAGACAGCTATAACATCACTAGGCAACAATATAAAAGAACCACTGTTGTATAGGAAGTCTGTCACTGACCAAAATATCATTGATTATATCTGATCAGGATAAAACTACTAAAGAATTAATCACTGGGAGGAATGTATGCAATGTGTTATCAATAAAATTATGGGAAAAAAAAACTTAAGTATGCATAATAATAAATAAAACTACTAAAGAATGTTTATAAAATATTCTTTTTTTTTTTTTTTGGTGGAACCGGGGATTGAACTCAGGTCCTTGCACTGGCCAAGGAAGCACTTATTCCACTGAGCCATGTCCCCGGCCCTATAAAATATTCTTGTATAGTGAAAGACAGGTCTCACTATGGTACCCAAGGCTAACCTTGAACTCCTAGGATCAAGTCAACCTCTTGCCTCAGCCTTCCAAATAGCTAGGATTACAAATGTACATCACTGCAACTATATAAAAAAATTTCAGGCCAGGTGTGGTGGTACTTGCCTATAATCCCAGCAATCCCAGCATTCGAGAGCCAGAGGCACAAGACTGCAATGTGGTTGAGGCTAACCTGGGTTACAAAGTGAGTTGAAGCAAACCAAGGCTACATAGTGAAATCCTGTCTCAAAAAGACAAAAACAAAGCAAAACACAAAATAAAAAAACAAAAACAAGTCTTAAGTACTAAAAATGCATAACCTTTCAATGTAATTTAATCTGAAGCAGTGACAGATAAAAGTTTTTAAATTATCAACAATGTTTCTACCAAGCATGGTAGGCACACCTGTTAACCCCAGGACTGGGGAGGCTGAAGCAAGAGGATAACCCCAAGTTCGAGGTCAAAGGCCAGCCTCAACTATAGAGTGAGACTCTATCACAAACAAACACACACAATGTTTGTACAAAGTAGAGAAAAAAAATAGGAAGACAGGCTCAAGAACTATTCTGGACAGTTCCAATGCCACTGGGTCAAGCAAAAGATTTAAAAAAAAAAAAAAAAAAAAGCTAAGAAAACTGAGTTAAGTAAAATGGCAACTTGAAAATTCTGCTGGTAATGCTACTTCTCAAACTGACTGGGGGGTGGGAGGGGGTAACTAACCACTTAAAATGGCTTCATCATTTAGTAGTAGTATTACAGTTTAATACTGCACACAAAAAAGCAAAAGAACTAAACTGGCTGGGGACAAGCTCAGTGACAGAGTGCTTGCCTAGCATGTGTAAGGCCCAGGGTGAGGGGACAATTGATATGACTTAAGCAAGATCCCTACAATAAAATACCAGCATGTTTTGTCTATGTTCATATTTCAAACAAAAAGTTTGTATCTTTTGAGTTGTTCTTTTCCTGAACAAAATAAACATTCTAATAATTTTATGATAAAAAACCAGAAGAATTCAAGGTCATCAAATACATAGTCAGAAAACATCAACACAAATCTTACTAAAAAGCAGTAGCAGACATAACCACTTAAAATATGCAAACTTATTTTTAACCAGAAAGAAATATCGAATATTTAAGTACAAAAAAGTGTATGCCATGCAATTTTTTTTAAAAAAAAAAGAGTTGCTAACAGATAAAAGAGTTCCTTATCTACTCAGTTCAGGAGGCACCTTATTTAGCATAAAACTTTGTTGTGAGAGCTCTAGAATGATAATGCTAATGCCCTACTTTTTTTTTTTTTGTATTTTAAGGAAGGATCTACAGGGTGTTCAGGGTGTCACTACTAGATCAAACTCGTAGTGCTTCGCCTGTTTATAGCCTCCCAAGAGCTGGGATTACAGGCACGCAACACCACACGAGACCCAGGAGAGCCACGGATTGAACCCCAGACCTGTGCGCCTGCTTGTAGGTGCTTTAATCTGCTGAGCTATTTGGCCGGCCCTAAACATTTGGTCTAGTGAGTGAGTGGCAGAAGCAGGGAGCCTATCTTCTGTACCAGAGTCTTTTTTTTTTTTTTTTTTTTTGTACCCAGTATCAAACTCAGGATCCTGTGCTGCCAGGAGGGGTTTATGTCTCTGAGTTATCTCCCTGGCCCTGCCCTATTGTCTTTTAAAAATACATATTTTAAAAAGTAATTCAAGAACACGTGCTAGGTCTGACTTCAAGAAATATCTGCTATTAAGGCAAGCACTTGATTTTTATAAGATAACTGGTAGTGTCATCTATATTAAAGGATTGAAAAAAGAACTACATTAAGTATCACCCAAAAAAGCATCCAGATGAAGCCTGGCATGTAGGGAAGTAAACTACTTAAAAGTTAAACATCTACAAACGCCATAATGAACAATAAAGCAGAAAATACAAATATTACTACTTAACAACTGATGATGACATGCTAAAGACATTCTATGGTCTTTATATTTTTGAATTTTGAAATATTAAAGATATTAGGCTTTTTCAGCAAATTTCTGGGTCTATTCATTAAAATTAAAGAACCACCACATCCAAAGTAGCTACAAATACCACCTTCAATATCTTATTGGCTTTTGAGTCAAACACTAATAGGACTCAAATCGTAGTTATGACTTGGATGTTT